AAAGATGCGGAGAACTTTTGTAAAACACCTAGCGGTCGACCAGGGCGTTGTGAAGATTTRAGCAGTTGTCCCGCCTTGTTATTAAACTTGAGCAGTCTGCGCGAGTCACTCTGCTTTAAGAGCCTATTCGTACCGGGTGTGTGCTGTCCCTTACCGGARTCTTCAGCRGTACTCACRACRCAACGGCCACTCAAGCTGACAACGAAAGCGCCTAYTACGGCGCTCGCAACGAAACGGCCAACAACACGAAAACCAGCTTCCTCGCCAAGTTTGGTTTTRATACCGCAGTTGAAACCTTCAACTACCACAACAACGACAACGCAAAATCCACTTGGTAATGAACTGGAGCTTATAGGCAATAACAATATTGTGGACCCTGAAGAGTGTGGACAGCAGGAATATTCATCGGGTCGTATTGTGGGTGGTGTTGAAGCGCCGAATGGTCAATGGCCGTGGATGGCGGCAATCTTTTTGCATGGACCCAAACGTACGGAGTTCTGGTGTGGCGGTTCGCTCATTGGCACGAAGTACATTTTGACAGCTGCTCATTGTACGCGCGACTCGCGGCAAAAACCGTAAGTCATTAYATGAACCTCAACACTTTATATGTAAGTATGCTTCAAGCAACYTTTTACAGTTTCGCAGCGCGACAATTCACCGTGCGACTAGGCGATATTGACTTGTCTACAGATGCTGARCCTTCKGCGCCRGTCACATTTACCGTGAAGGAAGTGCGTGCGCATGAACGGTACACAGATAGCTGCTAAATGGTTTGCCACTATTTAATACGTGCCTATTTCTCTCCACAGTTTCTCACGTATCGGTTTCTATAACGACATTGCCATTTTGGTGCTGGACAAGCCAGTGCGTAARTCCAAATACGTGATACCGGTTTGCTTGCCRCGCGCCGGACGTGCGCCACCCAAAGAGCGTCTGCCGGGTCGTCGTGCGACGGTAGTTGGTTGGGGCACCACCTACTATGGCGGCAAGGAATCGACCACGCAACGTCAAGCTGAGTTGCCTATATGGCGTAACGAAGACTGCGATCGTTCSTACTTTCAACCCATAAATGAGAATTTCGTCTGTGCTGGCTACTCGGATGGTGGCGTRGATGCTTGTCAGGTAACCCAACATAGCTATATACTTAATTTCACCTTTTCATTATACAATATGGAACTATTCGCTTAGGGCGACTCTGGTGGACCACTTATGATGCGTTTTGAGTCGCGTTGGGTTCAACTCGGCGTTGTGTCGTTCGGCAATAAATGTGGCGAACCTGGATATCCTGGAGTCTACACAAGGGTTTCGCAATACTTGGATTGGATTCGTGATCACACGCGTGACTAGGCGCTAGGGACAATACATTGTCTTCGAAAATGTTGTTTTAGTTGTAAACCTTTTTGTTTTTTTAACTAATTTAAATAAGGTTACGAATCACTAGTCTACATAATTTTTTATGTGCATCACGTATTTACATAGTTCCGATATTTATTAACCTTCTAAAAAAAAAACTGCATATTAGTTTGTATAGAATGCGTAAATTATTGACAAGTTAATATATGGTATAATAATAAAAAAAAGATCTTTTAATTACTTTCAACCGTCAAGGCAAAGTTTAATGAGATGTAAAATAGAAATTGATTTCAGCTCACCCCTGAAACAAATAAAGCTTCCGGGTTGGTGCTGGTGCGAATTACAAGAGTGACCACAGTAGGAAATATTCACGGTTTTTTTTTCGTATTGTAGAGCAGGAAATATTCGACCCTTTGCGTTTTTGCATTGTGTTCTCGCAGAAATACTTAGTATAATGATGAATGCCGCCTCGTCACCTACAGTCGATTGTCACGAGGGCTGACAGAAGAGGAGGGATGACAGTTGTACTTTCAGCTAAAAGAAGAGAGAGAATTTGCGACAGTAAATAAATGGTTTAAAGCCCGGGGTCGACTTCTGTACAGGCAGGAATGGAAACCTGAAAACGGACACGCAGAGTAGACTCGAAATTTGGAGTGAACACTCCTCGAAAATGTTAAATGGTGAAAGTCACTTGACCAGGACGAGGTGAAAACAGCCCTAAGGCGGCCCGAGGGGCGACGGATTACCAGCTCAGCAGTTTTAAAGCAGCTAAGCATGATTTAGTCGGCTGAATACATGTTCAAAAGAAGGGAAATCCCACAGTCTGCGCTAATTAGCGCGGAATTAGCCTTCTTAAGATTGCATGAACGGTTTTTTCGACAGTATGGTATGAAAATAAACTGTTTGGGCTTTATCGGTGTGCCTTTACACCTTCCAAAACCACCATATACACACCACACTTTCATAATCTGTCTAGTCCTGTGGAAAACCTCCGACAAATAGATCGACACCTCCCACTTTTTATCGACATCAAAGCCGCTTCCGACAGCACTGATAGGAGCAGATATATATGCAGAATGACGTCGAGCACAACCATCAGCTCCGTCAAAATAGGTAARGACCAAAGCTGGTCAGCCCAAAACAATAGAGCTGTCAGCCAAGAAAAGTAAGCGAAAGAGGTTTTGTGGTGAACATGGAGAAAACAATGTATCTGCAGGCCGCACAAAAACATTCCAMGCGTCTTGRGAACTACTTCACTGTTGGCAGCTATACATTTGAAAAGTATATCCACAACCAATTATCTAAGCCAAAGATGAAGCAGAATAACTCTTGCCAACAGGTACTATAAATGGGATCGGTATAAAAATGAAAAGCAAATCTCAATCTCGACGAACAAAACTTGCGCTCTATCGGAGGTTTTTTGGTTATCCAGAGGACACTTGATCTAAGACCGAAAATCGTGAGCTGYTTAAGCCATATGTAAAATAATCATTTCTGGYCACTCCCAAGTGAATGACGTTCAGAAAACTTTCCTCACTTGCGTGATCTTCTACGCGTGGTTCCATTCACCGCTTCTTTCGGTTTGTTAGTGAACAAGGCCAATATGAAATATCTYCTGTCATTAAACTTCGACGTCACTGTTGACAGTGATAACTTCGAARTCGCAGATARTTTCGTGTTTCTTGGATAACGCTTACCAAGAGRTGTTACTTCGGAAAATCCTYTCTCGGCGAACAAAGACCAAACTCTACAAGTCACTCAACATCATCATCAGCAACTTGGCTATAATCGCGTATGYGGTGTCTACGCCAATAAAGAAGAAGAATATTAAACGGCGCAGAAACAAAGACTGTGGCGAACAAAGATGAGAAAGAGCATTYGACTGTTTTCCGTAAGACCTTTGGAGCCGTCCGTGTGAAGCGTGAATATCGAAGAAGATGAAACCACAAATTGTACGAGCTTTACGACGCCATTGATATAGTTAAGGTTGGTTAGACCGTGTCGTTCGCCTGAAAGTTTTTTGCTCTCGGCTCACACCGAACCACGGTTGTAGTGCCAAGGAAGAAGAAGAAGACTTCTCACATATAAAAGAAATCTACTATTTTCATATACGAAGTACATTTGAGGTCAAAAAAGTATGACCATAGTATAGCGTCGAACTACCAGAAYTACTTCCACTTAACCTGAAAACTATATAGTCTTACTTATTTACTTATATTAAAATAAACCTAAAGATCTAGTTCATTAAATACCTTCAAAATTTGCAACACCCGCGACTTTCGTTGTGATTTCATTAATTGTATTCCAGAGCTCACTGAAATTAAATCCATTTATTTAACCTTTTTAGAGGTCATTCGTTGCTAATTTTATTTTAGAAGACGAGGCGAACCCCGTAGTAAAGCAGCACTACGGCTGAGTGATAAATAAAGCTAATTACATTACATGGCAGAAAATCACTAATTGGACTGTGGAATTTTAGAAAAAGTCCCTTTGGTTTGTCAAGATCAATCAACACCAGCGATTTGTTGCGACAAATATGTGCACAAAAAAAAAAAAACTTACGAAAGGGATAAAAACATAAAAATAAAAAAAAGAGCAAAATGAATGAGCAATTTAAATTAAACGTGTAAAAACACTGCAGAGCTTGCCGGTATCTGCAACTGGTTGGGACCAGAGTTGCCAAAAGTAGTTGCAGAAGAGAAAGCGTAGTATTATATTGATTACTTTTGTATAAAAAGTAGGGGAATAGATGCAAAAAGGCTTTGCCGTGCAAATACATGTGTGCTCATATATAAGATCTAGTAAAGGCGCATAGGGAAACGAAAGAAAAAGCTTCTGAATTATAAAAAAAAAAAAAAATTATGAGGTGATAAAAGTATGACCATAGTATAGCGTCTAAGTTTCAGAAGATTATACTTAGCATATTTAGAATTGACGAATTCTGCTGGAGTATCTACCGTATTGCTCGATAACTTGCTGGTATTTTGAAGGTAATTTCAGAGTGTCACTTGCAAAGAAATCTTGGCACCTTTTATCGATTTTCACAAGTCGCTCTTGTGACGTGACATTTTCAGCAGCAAAAGCAGCCGCCATGGACATGAAGAGGTAATAATCACTTGACGCCMGGTCCAAACTATAAAATGGTTGGATAACATCATAATATCCAAGYTGCTGGCGGATCACTATCGATGCGTGTGACATGGAGTAGTTCAGATAGAACACAATGCCGCACTCCTGTGGTTGGTTATTTTTAATGATTCAATTGTTRTACACAAGTAAAAACAAGTTCATATGGAAATAAGCTTGTTGCAGACCACTACTGTGACTTTTCATTTTACCAGCCACAATTTTGCGGTGTGTGTGTCACGTTTTTTCAGAAAACAATATAATATTCAAAAACATTTTCTATAAATACTTGTCATTAATATATTACTACTTTATAGAAAATCTTAAATTTTTGTTTTTATAATAATTTTATACTTTGTTTCAAAGTTTTAGCAATTTAGCATTAARGTTTAAAAAAATTAATGAAAAACTAAATATTTTAAAATTCTGCTTTCGTGTGCACTTTGGTTACCCTGACAGCAACAGCTGCTCGCTCCAACTTTGCGCCAACGTAACACATTAGTAGCAAACGGCCACCCAAAGCTGCCGGTATTGGCAGAAAAWCGCCGGAGCAAAGTACTTTCTAATACGCTCACACTCATAAATGGGAATTTTATTTTCGATTATCTGCAATGTATTTGCACGCGCGCGGCAGAATGACTGTGCTTCGGTGGAGTCGTGCATAAAAACTTAATTAAAGTTTCTTTTATTCTAAATGTTTAAAGTGTGCGGGTCAAAAAGTAAAAGAAAAAAAAAAAAAATTAATAATAAATGCAAATAACTAAAAGGAAGTGTGCCAATGATTAGATAGTGTTTGCGTCATAGTACAAAACGTTGTGAAATGAATAAGCAATTGTATTTGTTGTTGGATGTAAACAAATTGCCTTAGGAATAAATCAATAGCCAAGGTGAGTGAGCACGTTGCAGATAGTAAATGGGTTATGRGGTCTTTCTGAATGAGGGAACACACGCACTTGACTTCAAGTATGTGCTAATCATGTCATTTGCTTCCAGTCATTGTTGTTGTTGTTAAATATAGTGTTTAACTAAACGTCATAGTTATTTTGCCGGTTCTATGAAGTCAAATACAGAGAGACTWCCGACCTTCTCGGAGCATGAGCAGGCATTCTTGCTGAGAATGATAAGCACTTGTTGGTGTATGTGTGTATGCTGTGAGTTTCAATGCAAATATATGTATTTCCGCAAGCACRTACAGTATGTATGTATGTATTACGGCGTTGGCATGACAACGATAGTTTACAACGGAAAGAGTGTGTGAGCTGAGTACATCTTTTTGTTTACATTGAAAATAGTGGTGTAAATTTGACACTTTGCGGTTTGCTGCAGAGAATGTATAATATATTATGTTTTTTCAGTATTATAATATATTATACGTTCTCTGTTTGCTGTTTATTGTTATTGCAATAGCTCCAATATCATGTGTACATATACAGAGCAGCAGCTCTCTTGATTTTAATAAAACTTCAAGAAAGGTGATACTTTCCTTGAGATGCCATAAATTATTTATTATGATTTTGATTTCATTGTAATATGGAAACATTCATATTTTGCACGCTGGAAATGCAACACTTATTTTCTTTAGCTTTATTGTTGAATGGACAGATGTCGCACGTAGACTTCAAGCGCTAATGTCATATAGATGGCGCTATGCTTTAATTTTATAAGTAAAGCGCTGGTATTTAAAGCAAATATAAATATTTTCCACCTTCAAACAAAATAACACAGAACTAAAAAATAAAAAAAATGTTAACATATAAACATTAAAGAAATCATTATCTTAAAGCAATAAAATTGATTTTTACTATTTTTGAAATTAAAACATATCTTTAGCGGCTTTGAAAGTTAGTTGGTTACTTTTGGCTTGGCCGCTTTCTATAATTATAAAAATTTGCTTCAGCCGTAATTTCAATCTCGAGAAACGACTGAGTGGTTGTGATACAATTCAATCAACAAAGCCTACGGTTAATACGGTTTAATGTCAAAGACCGTATACCTAGTCCTGGCAGAAGTTCCGTTAGAAGTTCAATTCGTTATAAAAATGAAATTATATTTTTTTTTATAAAATTAATTTTATTTAATGATGCACGTATTAAGTGAGCGATGTATAAAATATTATTGGAAATGGTCATCTTTTGCTTTTACACAAGCCCTAAAGCCATTCGGTCATTGAGAAACATCAGCACGTACAATCAGCACTATTGTCAACGCTGCTCAAACCATAMATTTTTTGAGACTCTTCAATTTTATATATTGTATTCGACAGACCAACTCTGGCCCCCAATTGTTATCGAATCGATACAAGTCTTGATTTCCAGTCATCATCTGCCGCTTTGAAACCAGCAATATTGCTTTTAATGCACAGCTGGGTAGTTTTTACTTTGTGTGCTGGAACAAAATCATGCTAAAAAGCCCAACTGCATTAACACACCTTCTAAARCATTTTGCTGCTACACTTTTGGCCCAGTTTTAACAGTGTAATGCCTTTACAGGATACTTGCCATCAAACCATTCCAGCAGGGGGATGCTGACCTCRTTGAACCCTTGGAATAACATTTTTTGCRTCTGTGGRATTTTTTGCTRGCTTCCGTTAYACAKGAGCGATCTTAAGCGACTAATTTCTGAAAAAATATACTATTAGTCACAGAAACATAAGTTGATACTTATCTTAACGCAAGCTGTCAAATTTTTTCTGGAGCTTGCGTCATAACCAAAAAAGCAAGTTCTCCGTTTTTGACGTTGGCCTGCAATGTCGAAATATTTGTCATTATGATATTTAAATGTTAATGCATAGCAAAGGGTGATTCATTTCGAGAACAATCTTTGGCATTTATTTTTTGAAGTTTATCTCTTTCAAATGTTGACCGCAGCTACGTCTCWGATGGKCCATTCKTTGAGTMAAATTTTCGATGACTCGTTTCAGCATTTCCGACTAGTAACTAGCGAAAAAACGCGTGCTGTTTTGCTCCAAGACCTGAAGCGAAGCGGAATTGTCTTAGACTTTAAACTTTATATATCCYCACAGGAAAARTTCTAACGGTGTGAAGTCAMACGATCTTGGTGCCCAATCGATCGGCACAAAACAAAATATATCTGCTCACGAAGTGTTCTCTCAATAATCTATTGGTTGATGAGATGTGTGGAGGTAGTGGCGCCGGCTTGTTGAAAACAAATGTCATCAAGACCGCGAGCTTCAATTACATTTTTCTTCACTTTATGCTGGGCGTGGTCTTTTCGTTCGAATATTATCTAATAATGAATGCTGGGTCTCAAGATGGGTGATGGTGTTGCAAATAGTATGCTCAGAATCTCGACTATGTTGACCATGACATAAGTGAAGGCGTAAGTCATTTTGATGAAATGACAAAAAATACTTGACAAAAATGATATGAAAGCTTGAGGCGAGTCATGCGTGATCTGCCAAAAAAAGGCTATTGAAAAAATGACCTCTACCAGGATCACCAGTTACATGCATATATGGGAACATAATATTATATAATCTCTGCATCCCTGGTAGTAAAAATTGTAAAGTGCATAAAAAAATAAGTATCGGAAGGAGCTTCTCCTGCTACTAGCGGATAGTGTTTTATTATTATGGCAGCTGTTGTCCAAGTAGCTGGAGTGGCCATTTAATGGCCGTAGTGAGCAATTGTTTACACCTGTTTAAGATTTAATGGCTGCGAGCTGCGTTCAATAGCGATACCGCCATGCGTACTTATGTATGTATATATATATGTATGTGCATAACAAAATACACACATTGCCAAATCAATCTTGTAACCATTTACGGAATTTTATTGCCTTGATAAGTTGCCAAAACAATTTTACTGCCTTCAAATTTTCGCCTTGGTTTTCTCACCAATTCTCGCACAATTTTTTCACTTCATTCCTCTTCACTGCGCGCATACATATAGTACATACTTGTACATACCAACATTCCACTTGCAGAGATAAATTAAGTTAAATCTAAAGCAATTTGGCAGCTGTGGCTCCATTGGGGAGCGTAGTTTTTCATGGATTGGCCAGCTTTAATGCTGGTTTGTCTTTCTATATGCAAGTGCGTTCTTGTATTTATAGTATTTATATTTTTACTAAGATTTTTATTTATATGAAAGTGAGAGTTTTACGTTTCTTTGACGTTTTATTCTCAATTAAGGAGTTATACCCGCTTTCAAGTCAGAAAAAATCGTTCTTTGGAAATTTTTTAGAAAAAGGCATTTTATTTAATCTTCTATTTCTATTTATCCATTTGGCGCTACAAATGTTGGTCGGTCTGAGCCAAGAACACAAAACTTCGCCAGTTGCGTCTATTCTTTGCGTCCTTCCATTAGATGCCTAGGCTTCCGCTTGTCCACTCATGGATCCCGAGTCGAAGGAAATTTTCGTAGAAGCATCATTTTCCATGCGAACGACATGGCTTGACCAGCGCATTCGCTCCATGTCGATTTAGAACTCATTCAGTTCGTGGTTCCAACTTCTTCGATATTCATCGCTCAGGCGGGCGACACCAAAGATCTTGTGAAGAACAGTTCTCGAAATTATTAAAATTTACTACCGAAATCCGGGTGCAATGCCCTCAACTTTAAAAGCGCTACGCTCAAATTATGGTCAGCTCAAGAATTGAGCGTCTAGTGGAAAAATTTGAACCCAAAAAATGTTCCCGTGCCGTGGTGTCGAGAATATTGCTGCCATATTGGAAGACCCAAATCAGTCTCTCACACGTCGTTCTCAAGCGTTAGGCATGTGTATGATATTTTTGAGGCGAATTTTGTGAAAAGATCTTGGCCTATATCGTTACAATCAAATTGATACAAAAACTGAGGCCGCTTGGCCACGCCACCGCCACTTGAATTGAACTGAGCAACAACCTGAAAATGATTCGAATTTTTATCGAAAAATCATCTCCAGTGATGAGGCTCATTTCTGGCTGAATGGTTTCATCAGTAAGCAAAATATGCGTTTTTGGTCAGGCAGCAATTCGCACGTACTCCATGAGTCACCATTGCATCTCGAAAAAATTATGGTTTGGTGCGGTTTATGTTTCGGCGGCGTCATTGGGTCGTACTGCTTTCGTGATGATCAAGACCGGCACGTTACTGTGAGTGGGAATTACTGCACAACGATAAACGAATATTTTTTGCCCGAATTGGATGATATGAACTTGTACAATATGTGGTTCCAACAAGACGGCGCCCCAAGCCACACAGCGAAGTTCACTAACGATTTATTGAAAACTAACTTTGGTCTATGCCAACAAGCCAGCGACGATAGATGAAGTTCGTACGAGTATTGAAGTGTGAGTTCGGAGTATCGGCCGATTTATGCTTCGAAATCGTCGAATATTGGGTTCAGCGTCTAGACTTCTGCAAGCATGCCCGTGGTGGCCATGTAACACCCGAACTGAGGTCTTCCTTGCCTGTTAATTTATACATTTTTTATTTCCATAATTCATATTTTAATTGAAAATGTAGAATTTCTGCGCGCTTTCTGTTTGTAGAAACCTCAATTTTCAAAATTGTGGAAAAGTAAAGTGTTGTTCAGACAAGAAGCGTTTGCTGTGAATACCTTGCAGCTAAGTGTGTGTCCCACATTGAGTTGCAAACGCTTGGACACACACACACACACACACACACATCTTCTCTACTGTTTTGGTCTACAAACATAACCAGTTTCGTCTCTTAGACATATTGACTTGAATTCGTGTGTGTGCTTCTTTTTTGGCAATCCTCCGAACGGTGACTCTAACACAAATACACACACACGCACACACCTGTACTGTTGCTAAACTGGCTTTGAGGCTGTTGTTAACAATGTTAGAAACGCATATGTGTGTGTTGGCCATTCTTATGACACAGGTAAAGTAAAAAACAGTCAGGTGAGTGCGTGTGTG